TTGTTAGGATATGACATTATTATGAATGAGAATTTTGGGAATGTCATTGAAACTCTAACACTATTGTAAATCTTTTGTGATGAATGGTATCCTATTGGTAGCTTGTTAATACCTACTTCATATTTTTTATCTAAAAAAAACTAGATTTAACATCTCCTGTAATCCTTATTTTTCTTGTATGACATCTTGTCTCTCCTGTAAAGCCAGTCCAACCAAAATTCCCTTCACATCTCCCAAAATATATACACAAATGTGCACATTTAGAAACCTAAGATCTAGTTGAAACCACCAGGACTATCCTGACTGACTACATTTTCAAAGTTTCTCCCATGCTTAAAGTTCTCTCCCGCTGCTAATAACAAAAGCCATACCAAAAAGATTTTTTGACTGGGGGAAGCTTTGCTAATTTATCCTTAGTTATCCCTTCTGCTCCTTGTAGTATGATTAGTGATGCAGGGCAAATTAGGAATTCCCTAAAATTCTTAGGGTCCTTTACTATTGTTGATTGTGGCTCATAGTCAGAGAATTTACAGCTCACATTTAGGTCTTGGTAAAGGAGAAGAAATTCACACCAATCACAATATTTTTGGGCCAAGGGGCAGCTTCTTATCATAAGGGCATATATTGTAAAATTGAGTTTTCTCCTTTTCTCTATAAATAGGAAAAACCCTAGCCGTAGAAGACAGTTCTGCATATAGAGAACAATTTCATAGGTAGCTCCATAAAGTAAGCAGATTGCCGAGGGACATTAAAATTCTGAATTTTCTTTTTTTCCCCTCAATTACTTTAGCTTAATCTCTGTGCATTGCATGGGTGATTTAACAACTAATCTATTAGCTTTTTCTTGTTTAAGATTTTCCTAATTAAGTTCAACAATTTATTGTATTTCTTTTACGAAAACTACCCATATTAAACATGTTGCTTGTCTTGGCTTATTTTTACTTTTTTTTTTTAAAAAGGCTTCTAACTTTTTCAATAAGTTAAAGTAGCTGATGACCAATTGCTAATTGATAAGGAGCTGCAATAGCATTTTTAGAAAGCTAGCCAGGTTTTTTCTTATAGAATTTATAAATTCTTTAAACTAAGTTTATGTTGACCAAGTAAACCACAAAATGAACCCCTTAATCTGAATTGTTTACTTCTCAAAAATAGATTCAGAACCATTTTCAATGACTTTTTAATTGAATGACAAAATAAAAGTATATTTTTAACAAAATAATTAAACAAGCTATCTGTTAACTAAAAAAGGAGAGCTTCAAGGTAGTTAAAAACTTATAACCTCCTCTATTTTAAACTACGTCAAACACCCTCCAGTTTTTACTTGTTTCACAATTCTATTTTTTTGGGGTTTATATGGAGTTGCAGACTCTATAAAAGGAGAGAGTTAAGATTGCATTATTTTATCACCTACTACCCTATATTCTTTCAAAGATCTCTTTTTGTCTGCTGCATCAACTAGATAGACATGTACAGGACTTGTCCAACCCTACCAGAAATATAGGTGATAGGACCACCTAATATCAGGAGTAGAAACCCATATTGACCAAATAATCTACTTTGCATTGTAATATACCGGCCAACAGCTATAATAATCAAGAAGTACAGCAAAAATATGATGCAATGGCTTAAAGCAAAACCATAACACAAAAAGAAAGTTCACTGCTTGCAAGCAATTGAGAAATCTAAATGATGATAGGGGAAAAAAAAGACTAACCCATTGCACCAATGAACACCAGAAGTACTTGAAAGTAATAGTTGTTAAGAGAAAACAATGCCAGCAACTTGGCATACTCTCAAATAAAAATAATGAAACTAAATTAATAATGGTAATTGACTTCTCCATCTCCTCCTAATGCATGAGGTCTAATACACACTCAACGTGCATTACCTTGCTTTTCAAATGTCAAAAAAGGAAAAGTTTTTCAAGTATCAGATTGCACGACTTTCATAGTCAGTAGCAGAGCAAGAAAAACTCATTTAACTGGTTCTTACAGGAAACATTTTCTATAAGAGCTTGCAACAACCTCAGTAAAAACTTTTTAAAAAAATTATTCCAAAATCAATTTACTAGATGCCCCTAGGATTTCATCTCCATAATAACTAACCTTAAGAAAATAGTTGCAGTAAAAATAGACAATGAATTGAAGATATAACAAGTTCCTATGTAGGTGCAGATGTAAGATTCAAGGGAAGAAAATTAATGACAGGCTACGACTCTTATCATAAATATCCATCCCAGAGAATGAGAAGGGAAATGACTATTTTAAACTATTTGTGTAAAGGTGCTGTGGAGACTTGTAGTCATGTCCTTTACGGTGCCTAGTATCATGCAAGCTATAGTCGATAGCTTATGGTTTATTGGGTATTTAGTTGGGCGATAGCAGGTTCGGTCAAAGATGAAATCTGGGCGTAGAAGAGTTCAATCTGCAGAGGAAATTCATGAACCTTACTCCACTCACCATTTTCTGCGTGATATGAAAGGAGATGAATAGAAGAGCTTTTGATGAGGTCAAGAATGTGGGGATTTTGATAGGATTAGGACCAAATGGTTCCAAACCCGTGGCTTTTTAATTTTGGGTCATCCTCTTTATTCTATGGAAAATTTAAGAAACCTTACTGACATGTTGGTAGATATGTATATAATTTGTATACGAGTTAGCACCCTCTTAGTGTCTGTTAATATCGTTCATATTTTTTTTATTTCAAAAAAGATATATAAACATCCATCCTAGAGAAGCATAAATTTTACAATAATTACAATGTAATACCTTATGGTTCAGCTATTTCCATCTTCAGCGCCTATGCTTTTTTTTGGTGCAATTTCAATACGAATGATTTATCTTTTTGTCATCTAATATTAAACTAGTAGTGTTTTAGGCTATTCTCCTTTAATATTTGATTTTTTTTCCTGATGGTAATTTATTCAGCCTTGAACTTCCATATATAGGCTTTTATAGGCAAAAACATATTTAAATATCCTGTAAAAATCAATAGTATTACCTTTTTTGTCATTTAATATAAAAGTAAAAGTGTTTTAGGTTATTCTCCTTTCGTATTTGATATTTTTTTCCTAATGGTGATTTTTTAGGCTTGAACTTCCATATATAGGCTTTTATATGCACAAACATGTGTAAATATTCTCTAAATTCGCAGAAGAAAACATAGGTACTGAAATTTAACACAGCCATACCACAAGGTACTAACTGTATATTTATATATGTTGCACAAGATACTAAGCAATATATTTGTATATATTATATGTTTTTCTTTCAACTCAAACAAAGTTCACGTCACTAACAAATTTACTCCAAAGTGTGGGATTCCTTTGGGGCGATTTAGATGACAGAAGATGATTTCATTTAGTTGTCTGGGATAAGATCAAGAAGCCATTCTCCAGTGGAGGGTTGGGAGTAAGATCATGAGTTGAGATTAATGGTGCACTACAGAACAAGTGGCTTTGGAGATTTTTGAAGGAAGAAGGAGCACTATGGAGAAGAGTAATTGAAGCGAAATCTGATACAAGTGAGAAAGGTTGGTATGCGGGTGCTGTGACAAGACCAGATGGTAAAGGTTTGTGGAAAAAATATTGGCATGGGTCGTGATAAATTCTAGGAATGCATCAAATGGTTAGTTGGCAAGGGGAACAGAGTTAGATTGCGGCAGGACTTGTTGTTGGAAGGTGGACCTCTAAGAGATCAATATCCTCATATCTTTATCATTGCATAACAGAAAGACATCTTGATTAGTGAAGCTTTCAGTGACGTTAGGGGAGGTGAGAAGGCGTGGCAAATTATTGTGGTGAGAAATCTCAACAATTGGGAGATTAATAAGTATAAGAAGCTTCTTGGCACCTTATCTCGTGTGTCCCTAGATGGTAGCAATGATAGTCTAGTGTGATCTTTGACCAATAATGGGTTTTTCTCGGTGAAGTCATACTAAAAGTTTTTAACTAAACATGATGATATCAGATTCAGATTCCTGATTAGACAAATTTAGAAGGTGAAAGTCCAACCCAGAATGTCCTTTTTTGCTTGGGAGATCAGCAGAGAGTATATCCTTACAATCGATAAGTTGATGAGACGGGGTAAGGTTGTAGTGAATAGTTGTTATTCTATGAAAAGGCTGCAAAGACTTGTAATCACCTATTCCTCTGATGCCCGGAGGTCTACAAGCTTTGGAGCACGGTTTATGAGTTATTAGGAGTGAAGTGGTGATGGCAGGAACATTTAGAGATGAGTTATGGGCTTGGAAGGGAATCAGTGAGAGAAGAAAATATGCAGATATCATTCCGATCACAATCCTTTGGGCAGTTTGGAATGAGAGAAATGTTGCAGCTTTTGAAGAGGTAGATGAGGAGAACAGTTTTGATTTTATTATTAAAAATCGGTGGCTCCCACCTCTCAGTTTTTGTTATTAGGTTTGTTTTGTACTCTATGGAGAATTTAGGGAACCTTATTGATTTACTGATAGATATGTCAATATCGTGTATACGGGTTGGCATCTCCTTGGTGCAATTGTTAATAATACTGCTTATTTAAAAAAAAACAAATCATTCCAAGGTCTGGGGAGATAAAAAAGAAGATCAACAGCAACAACATATGTTTTCTGCTCCAAACAAGAAGTCATAATGTGGTAATACTAAAGCTAGGCATACCGACAGAGGCTCCTTCACCAGATAACTTTGTATTATTCCTAACTTATCCTCTTGAAATGTTAGTGAATCTCTCAGCACAGCAATAGTAACTTCTTTTGAAATTAAATTTTAGCCATGGTATTTTTTAAGCCAGAATAGATGATAAATATCATTTTCAAAAACTTAAGAAGCTAAACCAGACAAAAACTGACCTGATAAGCTAATTATATATCAGGTTCTAATACAAAGTTATGAAAATGAGAACATAAAGCAAATCAACAGAATGGAGACAAAAGAACAGATGGTAACAAAATTCCAATACATAGTTGAATGTATTAACAAAAGTACTGAATGATGGAGCAAATACCTCTTATTTTGTTATCCATTGTTTTGTTTCCATAACCTTCCATACGTCCATCTTTACCTTTCCCTGTATTTGTATTATGAACT